AGGCGTGGCTCCATTGCCAGAAGACAGGGAGTGAAGGCATTTTCAGCTAAATCTGAGAATCACTGGAGGGTTGTATGGAAAAGCCCTAGGGATATTTTGTCTGTGAAATGGAGGAAATAAAACCCATCCTGAGGCACTGGAAGAGATGCCCAACCCCTTTTTCCTCTATTCTTTCATCTGTTAAATGGGGATAATGATACTTTGTGTTTGCCTACCTCAGAGAGGCATTATCAGGTCTATTTAAAGGCCCTTCCCATGAAAGTTGCTGTGCAAATTACCAAGAACAGCTATGATAAAGAAACCTAAATACAGCAGCAAATCAACTAGAACAAATTCTCAAGAGAGTTTACTTCTCTGGAAAAACTGAAGAAAAGGGTAGCAGTTGTCCTCTTGGGACTTTTGGGTACCATTCTAGCTGGAAGTTTCGGGAAGGCTGGGTGCTTTTCAAAACCTCCTCCTGGCTGATCACTCAGGACCTTCCTCTGCTTGCTTTTCCCCCATGGTCTAAGCAGTTTCCATCTGAAGTTCCTCTTTGAAGTTTTTTCAGATCTTAACTCAGAAATCCCTGAAAAGAATCTTAAGCCACGCATTTACCTGTGAGAGAGAAACAGAGAGACAGAGGCAGAGAGAGAAGGGAGGTTATAATGTAGGGAAAATGTACATTTTATAGAGATGATAGAAAATGGGGAATTCTTTAATAGTTTTGAAAAAGAGGATTGAAGTAATTGATCACTAAAGTCAAGCTTTGCTGAAATTTATTTGACAAAGTATGTAAGGTTGATAAGATGGGAGCAGGAGCCCAGAAGGCAAGGGCTCCACTGCTAAGACAGCTCAACAGAGAGCCAAGCCAGCTGAATCAGGCTAATGGCAGCATGGCTGGAATAAACAGATAAGTCGAAGAAACATTATAGCTCTAGAACCTTGGCAACACATTGTATATAGCAAGAAAATGGGAGAAAAGTCAAGATCATCATAAAATTTCATAACCTGAATGTCATAAGATTTGGTGGCTTCCTTGACAGAGAAAGATGGCAGCCATAGAGTGAGTACACTGAATTTATGCATGAGATCTGGGTCAATACCACTGTAGGAAGCCCAGTGGTTTTATAATTTCATGAAACTTGTTTATGCAGTAAATATTCTGGCCATTTATAAACGGTGCAACCCCTGGTATCTGAAAGGCTTCTAAGCAATAAAAGAAAATGCCAAAATTCCAAAGATTGATTTTTTCAAATGAGTGATATATAAGGTTAATAATTAATACATCATAATAATACTTATCATTTGTCAACTAATTACTATAGTAACCACTTCATGTTTTCTATGTGCAGCCCAGATGTCAGCTGGTGGCTTCCCACAGCAGGAAAAGAACTAGCAAAATTTTTACAAACCCCTACAATTCCTTGTTCTATGGAAATCCAAAACCAATGCTGATGTCTGTGAATTGTAGGGGTTTGCATAATCCTGGCTTTTCCTGTCTCCCATCACTACCGTGCATCACTACTGAACCACCAGATGTGAAATTGCCCTTCCACCCATTGTTTGTATAATATACTAAGCCATCATAGGTTTAATAAAGTCCACTGAAATAAAAAAATCATGGGAAAGAGTCATAACGTCTTCCGATCTTCTCCAGGCTTTCCCTACTGGATTATGTTGGGAGCGTTAATTTTTCCATCCCTGCATTATGCAAAGACATTCATCATTCAAGGAATCAGCAGCACCTAGTGCCTTTCGTTTATTGAAGAAGGTAGTTTTGTTTATAAGTAGCAACCATTTGTTTTCCCATTATACTTAGATGACTTCATTTAACCCTCAAAACACTCCCACTTGACAGATGAGACAACTGAGGCTTGAAGAGGTTGAATACCAGCCCAAGGATATAAATGTATGAAGTGATAGAAAGAGAATTTAAATCCAGGTCTGGCAGACTCTTCAAGTTTTGAAGGCTAGGATATACGATTATCTATCCCAGTTTACTTTGCCATTTCAAAACTGCTTATTTTTTTTTAATCAAATCTTTATGTTAAAAAAAAAAAAGCCATACTTTCCTGAAGACCACATATGGGGAATTACAGAATAAAACCCCCAGTGATTTAGTATCAGAGAGAGTTAGGATAATTAAAATAACTAAGCAATGAAAATGCAACTCTATTATTTTTAACTAATAAGACTTAGATGGGGACATAGGCCACTCGCCAAACCTGCAAATTACACAATGGAATAGCTAATGCTGCTGCTGCTGGTGAGGATGAGGAGAGGGAGAAGGGGCAGGAGAGTTAGCCTTTATCTAGCACTGTTATAAAGGCTTAAGATGTATTATTTCTTTTAATCCTGAAAATAAAACCAAAACCAAAAACAAAAACAAACCAACAACTATGACTTAGGTCTATTATTATGTCTATTTTACAAATAAGTTTAAAGAGAGCAAAGAGGCTATCCCAAGGTCACTCGCCTCAGAAAAGCTGAAGCCAGGTGTGTCGCCCTAATTGTGAGGCTTCCACCCTTAACAGCCCGGCTGTCCTGCTTCAAGAATGGCGATGTTTTCAATGGATGTTCCCACTAGCATGCAAGTAAGTGCCATTAAAAATAGCCACGCATTTGATGTTTAAAATATTTAACTGGAGGAAATATAGGATAGGGAAACCTGGCTTGAAAACAGTTGGTTTAAAAAAAAAATCTATATTTGTACTCAGCTGGAAGCTGAACAGGAACCCAGCACTGCACTATGACTGCTACAAGGCTATTGTGACTTTTAGAAAGCCTTAAAAAATAGTATACATCATAGCACATATCACATTTGTTAAATTGTGTGCAGTTCCGACCTTCACAGTTTTAAAAGGGACAATGACAGTCTAGAGATACGCAAGGGAGGTGAGCAGGATGGTAAGGAAAATGGAAACTTTTTCAGAAAGAAGTGAGGATTTTCAACATGGGAAAGAGAAGACATGGCAGCCATCTTCCGATATTTGAAGTGCTACCATGACACAGACAGGAACTTGCTCTTTTTCTGTAGAAATCTTAGGCAGATTTTCAACTCAGAATAAGGAGAAAAAATATATCAAATATAACTGTCCAACAACTTCCCACAATAGAGTGGATTTGAAAAACTAAGATGCATTTCATTATAAATTTCCAAATTGATAAGAATAATTACTTATTAAAAAAAACTGTTTAAAGGATTTCTGCTTTATATAGGGAACCAGACCAAATCAGTAGCCTCAAGTCTGGCTCTGTGTTAGAATCAACTGGAAGACTCTGAAATTATTGATTTTTAAGACTTCATCTCATTGAATCATAATCTAGAAGTTGGGGCCTGAGAATTTATATCAAGAATCTAAATTTCATAATCCCCTCACATGATCCTGGTGATTTACCAGACTTGGGAGTCACTGAACTAGATTATTCCAAAGTTCTCTTCTAACTCTCTAATCATACTTAGAACATTGCAGAATATTTTCTTTAATAAATAAATGAGAATTATTTATAATTTGTAAAATAAATTTAGTCTACATGTACATCGGCAGCTCTAAAGTGCTAGAAAACCACCTGATTTCTTCATTTTTTTTTTTTAAAGATTTTTATTGGGGAATTGGGGGGAGGGGAACAGACAAGTTGCTGTCCTTTTGTTCTTCAGTCTATTTGTGGAGGATGTTGCTTTCACTGGCCCAAGTTGGCACCATCATTGCGCTCTTCCTGGGTGAGGCAGATCAGTCGCCAGCTTCTGGATGGCTGCTCACGGCGGCTGCTGGCCCCTCACGCAGGTTGCTGGCTACACACGGTAGCCCATGGCAACCCACTGCAGCAGGGGTTGCAGCCTACGCCACCATCGTCGCCTGCGACTCACGGCAGCCCAGCTCCAGGTTGAGCTGTTGTTCAGCATCTTAGGTGTAGAGGGCAGTGTCACTGGCCCTCATATGTGGGATCCGAAACGGGGCCCTCTGGCATCCCAAGCCAGCTCTTAACCATCGCACCACGTGGCCAGCCCTGATTTCTTTTTTTAAGTTAAAACATTTTTAATTTTTTTATTGAGGTATGATTGACATACAAAAAAAGCTGTACCTATTTAATGTATACACTTCGATGAGTTTGAAGATAAGTAGACACCCATGAAACTATCACCGGATATAATCTCAAATTTATCACTACCTTTAGAGGTTTCCTCTCTTTTTCTTTTATCATAAGAACATTTAATATAAGACCTATTCTCTTAATAAGTTTTTAAGTATACAATACAGTATTGTTAACTATGTGTACTATGCTATATAGTAGATCTCTAGTATTCATCTTGTGTAAATAAAACTATGTACCCTTTGATCAGCACCTCCCTAGTCCCCTTTCTTCCAGCCCCTAGTAACCACAAATCTCCTCTCTATTTCTGAGTTCAACTATTTTAGATTCCTATAGAAGTGGAATCCTTAGTATTTGTTCTATGTCTGGTTTATTTCACTTAATGTAATGTCTTCTAAATTCATCCATGTTGTAGCAAATGGTAGGATTTCCTCTTTTATTAAGTCTGATTAATATTCCACTGTATTTACATACCATATTTTTTATCCACTCATTTATCAATGGACATTTACATTATTTCCATGTCTTTGCTAATGCAAATAATGCTGCAGTGAACATGGGAGTACACATATTTTTTCAAGATCCTGATTTCAGTTATTTTCAGTATATACCCAGAGGTGGGATTACTGTGTCATATTTTTGTATTTACTTTTTAATTTTTTGAGGAGCCTCCATGCCCTTTTCCATAGTGACTGCACCAATTTACATTCCAAGACACTTTACAAATGATGACATAAATTTGTCAATAACCATTAGTCATCAGAGAAGTGCGAATTAAAACCACAATTCAAGACTACCACATACTCATCAAAATGACTAAACTAAAAAATGACAGACACGTACATACATACATGTATGAGTGAATAGATACATAGATATTCACTTTCACTTTCATAAAAATGTACACTGATTGTTGCTTTTATTCACAGCTGATGGGTATGTAAGTTGGTCCATTCATTTTGGGGAACTATTTGGCAATATCTACTAAAGCTGAAAATATGCATAATTTGTTTCAACAATTCCATTCTTAGGTATGTATCCAATATAAGTGCATATATGTGTTCTCCACAATACCTGTGCATGAGTAATCAGAGCAATGCTATTTATGCAAAAACTGGAAAAAGCATAAATGTCCATCAACACTGGAATGCATACGTATGTAGTAGTCAAAACATTGAATACTGTTTATCAGTAGCATTGAAAGAACTATAACTACACATAACAGCATGGATATCATAAATATGATTTTTAAAAAGATGACTAAAGTAAGAGTACAGCTGGCATGTTTCCATTTATATAAAGTTTAAAAGCCTTATAAACTTTAAAATTAGGTGTTACTGATCTATGGTTTTAGAAAATGATAGAAGTCATCTTTTTTTGGATAGGAGGGGACGGGAGGGCAAAGTGACTGGCAGAGAGCACAAAGGAGGTTTCGTGGGTGCTGCTAATATTCTATTTCTTTTTTAAAAATAAAGTTCACCTGATTTCTTAAGTAGGTTAACACTTTTCTTTCAATCTAGTTAATGAAAACTTTTTTTTATGTATCATGGACAGACAAACTTTATCTGGCTTGTTTCCCAATTATGAAATTTCCAAATCACTGAAATAAAAATAAATGAGACTTTGCCATACTTAGAAAACCAATATGATGAAAAATTTGTTTACACCAGGAGGTTTTAGGTCATCCTTCAATCATTCATCCCCGGAACCAAAGTACACATGCGCATGAGCACACATGCGTCTGTACGCGCACACTCTCACAAATGTGACACATGCTAAATGTTGGGCAATTACTGAGATGGAACAACGGAAAACTGCAAATTCCATTTCCTTTTTAGCCTTATCCTTTTCTATACAAGAATCTAGGAACTCAAATCAAAGGCATCCAAATAATATCGTTAATCCTGACATACTCAGCTCTTTGTTTAAATTTCCCTAATTCCTTATCTTTTAAATACATTGCTTTGGGCAAAGTGGCACTAAGATGAGGAGTAAAAAGAAATATTTTTAAAATATTAACAGATTTAAAGAGAACATTAATTTTGGCTAAATGGTTTCCTATGTGAAGATCTTCTAAAAGTATGCTGTGATGCCATATGAAAGAATTCTAATTATTGCAACAGGGCTACGTTGTAGATTTTGCCTGATCTATAATTAAACCTGTAAGCCTCTGCTAGAATTTAGAAAAGAATCCTTGAAACCCACGTTAGCAAGTTAATTCAGATTCTCCTAAGTTTACCTTTCTAGTTGACAGTGTTTTTCATGATGTTTTCAAATGAAACTCACAAACATCAAACAAATAGCATGATTGTCAGAATTTTCAATATTCAATACACATCATTATTATCTGTCATTATTGTCATTGTCACTATTATAATTGCACCCTGTAAAAAAGAATGGAAGCTTTTCTAAAGGAATTATTCACGTGTATTACTTTCTAGGAGTAATTGAATAGTTGACATTGTGTTTATATCAAAGTAAAATATGTGATGGTTTTACTCATTTGTTTTTAAAAAATAAGAAATGTAGAGTAATCTATGTTAGGCCCCTTTATTTGACTCCAGAGAGTTTCACAGTTTTATGCAGTATCTAAATGTATATTTTCTTTTTTTAATAATTTTTTTTATTTTTCAGTTACAGTTGACATACAATATTATATTAGTTTCAGGTGTACGACATAGTGATTAGACATTTATATAACTTATGAGGTAATCACCCTGATAAATCTAGTCCCCACCTGAAACCATGCATAGTTATTACCATATTATTGACTATATTTCTCATGCTATACTTTACATCCCATGACTATTTTGTAACTACCAATTTGTACTTCTTCATCTCTTCCTCTTTTTCACCCATCCCCCCAAGCCTCCTCCTGTCTGGCAACCCTCAAAATGTTTTCTATATATCTATGAGGTTGTTTCTGTTTTGTTTCTTCATTTATCTTGTTCTTTAGGTTCCACATATAAGTGAAATCATATGATATTTGTCTTTCTCTGTCTGACTTACTCCATTCAGGATAATACCCTCTAGGTCCATCCATGTTGTTATAGAAGGCAAGATTTAATTTTTTTATGACTGAATAATATTCCATTGTATACATGTACCACCTCTTCCTTCTTCCTTCATCCATTGATGGACACACAGGTTGCCTCCATGTCTTGTCTATTGTAAATAATTCTGCAATGAACATATGGATACACTTGTCCCTTCAAAGTAGTGCTTTGGGTTTCTTTGCTAAACACCCAGAAGTGGAAATACTGGGTCCTTTGTCTCTTGTTAGAATTTGTGTTTCAAAGTCTATTTTGTCTGGTATAGCTATGCTGGCTTTTTTTTAAATTTCTATTTGTATTAAATATCTTTTTCCTCCCTTTGCTTTCAGTCTGTGTGTGTCTTTTGATCTGAAGTGAGCCTCTTGTAGGCAGCATATGTATGGGTTTTGTTTTCTTATTCATTCAACCACCCTATATCTTTTGTTTGAAGCATTTAATCCATTTACATTGAAAGTAACTGTTGATAGATATGTAGTTATTGCCATTTTATTGTTCATATTTTAAAATCTTTTTTCTTCTTCCTCTTAGAGAAGTTTCTTTAACATTTCTTGTAATACTGGTTTGCTGGTGATGAACTCCTTTAGCTTTTTCTTGTGTGGGGAGCTCTTTATCTGTCCTTCAATTCTAAATGATAGCTTTGCAGGGTAGAGTAATCTTGCCTGTAGATCCTTGCTTCCATTACTTTGAATATTTCATGCCAATCCCTTCTGGCCTGCAAAGTTTCTGTTAAGAAATCAGCTGACAATCTTATGGGAGCTTCCTTGTAGGTAACTAACTGCTTTTCTCTTGCTGCTTTTAAGATTCTCTCTTTGTCTTTAACCTTCGGCATTTTAATTATGATGTGTCTAGGTGTGGGCCTATTTGGGTTCATCCTGTTTGGAACTCTTTGCACCTCATGTGCTCATATATCTATTTTCTTTGCCAGGTTAGGGAAATTTTCAGCCATTATTTCTTCAAGTATGTTTTCAATTCCTTACTCTCTCTCTTCACCTTCTGGTACCCCTATGATGCTTGATGTTGTCCTAGAGGCCACTTAGACTATCCTCATCTTTTTAATTCTTTTTTCCTTTTTGCTTTTCTGATTGGGTGTTTTCTGCTACCTTATCTTCTAAATCATTGATTTGAACTTCTGCTTCATCTAATGTACTGTTGATTCCCTCTAATGTATTCTTCATTTCAGTTATTGCATTCTTTACTGTATTCTTTATTCTTTACTGGTTCTTGTTTATGTTTTCTATGTCCATTTTTACGTTTTCTATCTCTTCGTTGAAGTTCTCCCTGAGATCATTGAGCATCATTATAACCAGTTTTTTTTTAACTCTGCATCTTGTAGATTGCTTGTCTCCATTTTGTTTATTTTTTTTGAGCTTTGTTCTGTTCTTTCACTTGGGACATATTTCTTTCTCTCCCCATTTTTGCTGCCTTCCTGTGTTTGTTTATGTGTGTTAGGTAGTGCTGTAATGACTCTGAGTCTTAGTTGAGTGGCCTTATGTAGCAGATGTCTTGTGGGGTCTGGTGGCTCAGTCTCCCTGGTCACCTGAACTGGGTGCTGCGAGTGTGTCCTTTGTGTGGGTTGTGTGTGCTTTCCTGTTGTACTTGAGTCTTGGTTACTGTTTGCACATCAATGGGAAGGATTGACCCTCGGGCTGATGGGTTGTAAGGACTGGCTGTGACTATAGTGGAGGAGTTGTGGTGTAGGAGCTGACCCTATGGAGTGGGATTCACTTTAGTGGGGCTCTGGTGCCTGCCTAGTCTTCCCTTTGGATGTGTCATCTTCAGAGGCAGCCAAGGGGTGCTCCTGCTCAGTCCAAAACCAGCTACTGGCCATGCTGGCTCCAAGTCCTCGTGGAGGGGCCCCACCACAGGCCGAGTTCAGTCAGGACCATCTGGAATGAGCCACAAAGCAATCTGCACATCACTGCCACCCACACTGGGCTTGGAGATGGCTGGGAGAAGCTAAGCTACAAACCCAGGCCAGCTGCTGTTAGTGTCAGGCTTGGGGCTGCTTACCAAAAGGTATGGGGTATGCAGAGGCCAGATGCTTCTTGTTTGGATTTTGTGAATCTTCAAGAGATTTTAGGAAAGTACAAAGCATGAGCCAGAACAGGCTGTTTGCATGTAAGCCTCTGGAAGCAGCTTAGATGGACCTACAAGTTGGGCAGGGTGGCATCTCAAGAGAATCATCAGGGTAGGGTGAACAGTGTCAGCCAGGTTGATGGAGACTCAGGTATAGTGGCTGCCTTACATCTGCAGTCTGGGAGGGGAGAAGACTCAACAAAGGAACAATGCCTTCTGCCAGTATTTCTGTGTGGAAGAAAGCTGCCCCTCCAGCCCTCCCCCTACAGCCAGACAATTCAGTTCCTCCTTGTATGTCACTGATGCCTTTTGAGCTGCTGCCCCAGTACTGGAGCTCAGAGTGAGTGAGACTGGCAGCAAGCAAGTCCATACATTGGCCTTTAAGAGGAATACTTGTGACTCCAGCCTCCCTCTGTCTCACTCAGCCACAATCTCTGCTGGTTTTTATAGCCAGAAGTTATGGGGGCTTCTCTTCTATCACTGGAACCCTGGGCTGGGGAACCTGGTGTGGGACTGTGATTCCTTGTTCCCCAGTGGGGACCTCTTAAGCTGAGAGATCACTTCTGATTTTTAACTGCCACACCTGGGTGTGGGACCAGCCTGTTCTGCATTTCCACCCCTCCTACCAGTCTCAGTGTGGCTTCTTCTGTATGTCCTTAGTTATAGGACTTCTGTTCAGCTAGACTTCAGGTGATTTTCAATGATAGTTTTTCTGTAGTTTAGATGTAACTTTGATGTAGTCATGAGAGGAGGCCAGCACAGGATTCACCTACTCTGCCATCTTGACCAGAAATCTCCTCCAAATGTATATTTTTTTATAACAAGGCTCAAAACATAGCCAATATAATTAAAGTGATAATTATCTAAGAACATATAATTACAAGGTAACTTCTGGGTAGTGAATTAGCTTATACTTATATACATGAACACAATAAGAATCTCAGTAAAAAATATTACTTTTCTTTTTTAACTATTTAATAATATTTGACACGTTGAAATAAAGCCCACATTATATTTTCATTGTCAATATCTAAAGAATGATTAACAATTTACCTTTGAGTTTATGTAGAACTTTTCACTTCATTGTTTTATATAATTCTCATTAAAATTCTTTTAAAAAGCAGGTCAGCATAATCTCTAAGAAGCCAAGTAACGTATACAAAGTTGCTCTGATGAATAGCAAAATTAACACTAGAATCTGGGTCATCTTGAGTCTAAATCAGAAGTTATAGTAAGATAAATATTTTTTAAAAAATTGAAAGAGATCATGGCTCTGGTAGAGTTAGAAGGCCTGTGTCTGAATGCTGTTTCTGCCACTTTGAATATGGGAACTTTCTCACCTCTCTATAGATAAAAGTTATTATACCTACCACATAAGGCTGTTTTGAGAGTCAGTGGAGAAAATGATGAGTAAAAACACTCAAATGTGTTTTATTTTGTGTGCTTTTTATTCTGTACTATGCTGCTTCTCACACATTTTGTCCTACTTTGGTTTCTATGTGATTCATTTTCTCAAGGTAGAGTTTTAAACTTTATTTAGAGTTAAATAATATCAATACTGTGTTGGAAAATTGAGTAACGCTTTAAAAACAAAATACTCTGAGGAAAATGCCATAATAAATTAAATGACTGATACTACAAAAAATGCAAAAGATTTAGAATTTGTCTTCACTCACTAAAAAGTCCATATGTAGTGAATTCAAAGCACTGTGTCTTCACAGACAACACATAGCCAATGAGGGTAAGTGGGATTTTCTTTACTTCTATGTAATTCTTCATCACAATCCCTGAGGATGCCTGGGTGGTTTAGAGATTTATCTTAGTTTGTGTGGAGTCTTTGATTGCTGCTATGCTAGTGAGTCCTTTGAATCATGTCATTGTTGGCAGGGGTGGAATTTGTTACCATTTGCCAACCACTATTTGGTGGCTTATGTATTGGTAGTCTCAGTCCAGTTCTTAGAGGACAGAGGGCAATGACTGGCTCTTTGGGCAGATAAGATAAAGACTAGATTCTCTCCTCATCTGCAGAGATGGTCCTTCAAAGTCAGTGTTGAAAATCACCAGTGGGATTGGTCCAGGAAAGCTGGCCTTATCAGTTAATAAAATGACCTTACAAATACATGTGAGCCATAAATTTATCTCATGAAACTCATGAAACACATTTTAAAAGCATTACATTTATTTAAATATTAAAACAGATTTAATTATATTATGTTGGTCACTCCACCATGTCAGAGTGTCTTTCCTCTATGTCTCATCAGTAGATATTGTCTCTCTGCCCCACCTGCAGCCTGGCAGCACATAAATATGTCACAACAGCCACTGAATTATGACTTCCAGTTGACCAGGTCTGTCTACACGTGGTAGCTGACAGCAACCTAAAAAGAAAATTTGCTCTCATCTTGACTTCTCTTAGACTTGCAGAATGTTTTATTATTTAAATTCAAAGAAGTTGAGTTTCTGTGTGTGTGTGTGTGTGTGTGTGTGTGTGTGTGTATGTGCGCGTGCGCGCGCGTGGGTGGCAAAATTCATATTGCAATCTGATAATACATTAGGCCTATAAGTGCAGCTCCTCCTATCCATGAGTCCTTAATTGGAGTTTCTTTGGAAGGCACTTTTCCTACCGAGGCATACACAATGCATTCAATGGCACCAGAGTTTCATTAAAGGAATTCTCTTGTTCCCTTCCTTCACATGGAAATGCCATTAACTGTATTAAGTTAACTCTCCGAATGTTAGGTTCTTAACCAACAAACAGTGCTTCTCCACAAGGGCCTACTTCGCCAAGCATCCTTGAATCTGAACGACGGGCTCAATATGTAATAACAGATTCAGAGCCACACTGACTTAAGTGATCATATTTAAGAGGAACCCTTTTGTATTTATTGACTTTTTCCTTCACTCATGGTTGTTTCATTTCTTTCACCACCACCTTCAGCCTTTCCAGTAAATGAAAAGTTCAATTATATGTAAAGCGACCGTTAAATCAGCAGGCCCTTTGTGGGGGTCTGGGGCTCCTCTCCCTCCTCCAATCGCAAGTGTGCTCAATCTATTACCGTTCCTGAGGATGTACATCCATCAGGTCGAGTGTGCCGGCCAGGGTGCATCTTATAGCTTTTACTGCATATGAGACGTTGCAGGCCTGTTCTCAGGAACTGCCAGGCAGACTGGGAATCATGGTCACGGTTAATAGCAACGAATTGCCAGCTCTTGATGGGTGGGTAGTCACTCCTTTCAGTGGTTGCCCCCTGGGGGAGAAGGTAGAAAAACAGAGGGAGGGAATTAGAGTGACTGTGCACAGTTGAGCAGGTTCATACCGCTGGATCAGTGGCAAGCATTGGCAGGGCTCCACTCTGGGGAGGCTCAAAACAACCTCACAGTTTCATTTTTACCAATTGGTGCTGCTGTGTTGCCAGTGGTGCCTGGGGATGGGGTGGCAGGTGGGGGCGGGAGGGAAGAGAGGGAACTGGGAAGGGGATAAAGGCAGAAATCTCCGCTAAATTAAACAAACAAAAAGTCCTATTCGTACTGGTTAACCCACTCTGGTTAGCCTGTGCTACTAATTGTACCAAGCTGGTGTTTGAAGTTCCCTGGGTGATTAAAGAGTTGGCTCACAAACTCTCTGCATAACCTTAATTTTTTCAAGGTTCTCTGAGTGGAGAATGGCTTATAATAATGATTTTGACTAATACGATTTTTGACATGCAACTTTAATGCTTAACCTTAGTACAACTCCAGAGCATTTCATGTGTACTCAGCTGTAAAGAGTGATGATTTAAAGGGATAATATAAGAAAAAGGTCGTTCTAGAATGAACCTCTAACAAATTGCATAAAGGAAGCTTATTATTCCATGAGTATGGGGATATGCCGCTCTTCTGATCATTGTTCTGCTTGGTTCAAAAAAAAAAATTGTTGAGACATGAATGGGAGAAGAAACAGGAAAAAATGAAATAGAAATCTGCAAGCAAGGAGCATTCTTTTGATGGTTATGATTTCGTTGCTACTAAAAAGGCTCTACAATAATGTGGTTATTCATCTCCTCTTTTGTTTTGGGTGAAGAATTCGCTCTAACAAGAAAATGCTATTATTGGTTGGAGGATTGCCTCCTGGGCCGGACCGTCTTCCCAGCAATTTGGTTCAGTACTACGATGATGAAAAGAAGACATGGAAAATACTCACAAGTGAGTGCCCTCCTTTATTTATTTACCAACCTATTTATTTCAGGTTAGAGCCGTCTTGAGGAATGCGAAAACATGGCTAATCAAATTAGACATTTTATTGATTTGTTACCCTTTGGATGTCTGTTTATGTAGCACAGGGGATTTAGAGTAAAAGACTAAATTAACATTGCAAAGGTGGCCAATTTGGTAGTCGAACAGGCCTAAATGAAAATTGGCCTAACATCACTGCACGAGTTTGTTTTTCTGTGTGTGCTAAGACAGAGGGGGAGGGCGACTGAGACCTTCCCAAAGAAATTCTTCTGTTCTTTTTTTTGTTCATTGAAAAGTGAAGAAAAGTTGGCTAATAGCCCTAGTGCATTCTCTCACATCCAAATGGTTGTTTAGTTTGTTGTGTCAGTCACTAACATTCCTTTTGATGTTTAGGCATTTTTGCTCATTAATCTCTATCTAGCTTGTGGAACTGGGTCTTGAGAGAAACACCCCCTTCTGTTGCTCCACAGTTTGGATGCACAGATATTGCCATGGCCTCTCCCCAGCTGCATTAAATTGTGCTTGAAAACTTCTACCAAGATCCCCTCCTCCCGTCCTTAAAGGGTGATTGTGCTTTACAGCAAACCTCTAGCCTTGGGCTCTGAGATTTGGAACTTATTGTTATATCGGTTATGATTCCCAATCTGACTCAGTCATGGAATAAAAAATCATCGTTCCTTGAGTGCAGCAGGCTATGTACACCAGTCCCCTCGTGGGTACAGTGGCTGCACTGGTCAATAAAACTACATTTTAACTGTCAAAATTGCCCAGAGCTCTATAGATAAAATAATAAATGAGCAATTTGGATCCATAAATCAAAGCCATACATTGAAAACCAGCAAAAGTAAAAGTTAGATTTTCTTACTGCATGTGTCTTTTAAGCAGTTATATATTTTATCAGATTTTTTTAAGTCATTTTTTTCCTTTTACTGAAAGCCCTTTACAGTAATAGAAACAGGACAACAGTTTACCCGTAAGAGCAGAAGAGGAGCAAAGACATGTGACGTGGTGCTTGAAATAATACATTTCGGAGTTGGCTTACCCCAGCGAAACCTGCAGTAGCACTGTCCAGGAACTGAAACGAGAAAGCTCCCTGGATACCTATCCACTATGGTTGTAGTAAAGAAGGGGTGGAATAGTAACAGTGAGATTAAAGGGGGAAAGGAAAGAAAAATAAGTTAGGGATGACTTCAAGTGATTTTTATTCTCTTTTTGACAAAAATAGTGCCTTCAACATCTGAATGCATGACCAAGCTGTGTTTTCAAGATTCCTCAGAAACTAAAGCTAACATCAAACTAAAGAATTAATATTCTGACCCCTGATCAATACAGAAAGCCTACATACAATGAGACATGGATACTGCAAGGAGGAGAGAGGAAAGAAGAAAGACAAATGATTCTCAAAGAGAGATGCCAGAGAAGTACAGGCTAAGGGACAGGGAAATATTAGACCCAACCGATACATGATATTCATTTACAAAGCCATCTGTTTTCCCAAATACAGAAGGCCAGGTCTAATGTGCTACTTATTTGAAGTCCTTCATGAAGGAGAAAAGATTAATTAAAGTAGCATAAACAATATCTAAGAAAAGTTTATGTTTATTTTCAACCATGTTCTAAGATGGGGTGATCATCCAGTTTATTGCCCAAACCGGGGCACTTGAGAGCCATGAAATGAGGGTCTATTAATATGCTTGGGAGCAGGTATAGACTGGGACATATGGTCACCCACTCAAATTTTTCATATTGCCCGATATGACTCTTTACTGAGAGGGATGTAGTAAGAAAACATCAACTTGGATCAATTGGACCTGGGTTCAAACCCATGTCTTATGACCTTGAGCATGTCATATAAATGTCCTGAGTCATGGGTACGTCATTTAGTTATCATCATTTGAGTATACTAAAATAAAATGTGTTTATACATCATCTAACACATAGTATGAACTCAATAAATTACAGTTACTGTTGCTATTATTGAACCACCACTACCAATATTAGCACAAGGACTGCATGGACTTGTATATATTAGAGGCATCAGTTAACTTAAGGTCTCCATGCAGAAGGAAGACAAATTATACTGCAACAGACACAACACTTCAACCCACTGCTCTAGAGCAGGGAGCCTACCTTCTGTAGTTTTCATATGTTGGATGTAAAAATCTACAGACTAAGAAGTAAAGATAAATGAATATCTGTTGACTCCATTCACCACATTTGAAACTGAAGGAAATAAAGACATTAACGTGTAGAAAAGTTCTTATAATGTGAATATATTCAAGGATCTTGAACTTTTTTTTATACTCAGGCATACTCATAGCTTTGAAACGGCTGCTCACACTCTTCATTTCACTGGGACTTGTACTTTAAAAATAGAGTTTATTACCTGCTAGGCTGTGACTACATGACCCCAAGTGAAGGCATATTTTTCAGGTTTGTTGGAGACAGTTTATCTGGATATTTCTGCTGTTAGTTTGTATTTTTGTAAATTAAGGCATCTTATTTTTTTTTTTAAGATTTTTATTGGTGAATTGGGGGGATGGGAACAGTGCTGGGGAATTGGGGGAAGGGGGACAGACAAGTTGCTGTCGTTTTGTTCTTCAGTCTAGTTGTGGAGGATGTTGCTTCACTGGCCCAAGTTGGCACCATCATTGCGCTCTTCCCGGGTGAGGCAGATCAGTCGCCGGCTTCTGGACGGCCGCTCACAGCGGCTGCTGGCCGCTCACGCTGGCTGCTGGCTACACACAGCAGCCCATGGCAACCCACTTCCACAGGGACTGCAGCCCACGCTGTCGCCGGCGACTCACAGCAGCCCAGCTCCAGGTTGAGCTGTTGTTCAGTATCTTAGCTGTGGAGGGCAGTGTCACTGGCCCTCATATGTGGGATCCGAACCGGGGCCCTCCGGCATCCCAAGCGAGTTCTTAACCATCGCGCCACTCGGCCGGCCCTTAAGGCATCTTGTTTAACTAAACTAAATAAGTCAGGTAATTGAACAATTTTTACACTATTTGGACCATCTAATAATAAATGAAAACATGTTTCTCATTGGAATATGAAAATATCTAAATTCTCCCAAAATCCAGTGAAGCGTTAGGGATAGCATTGCTTCCCACTGCCATTCTTTTGACCCAGAAAAAGGGCTGAGCTAATTGGCAGGGAGGTGAGAATGACAACTAATGCCAGGAGACAGCTCCTAGTTTGGGGTCTGCCTGTTAATATACTGACTGTCTCCATATAAGCTAGCAAATAAGCTAATATACAAAAACCCAACACCTAAGGGTAGCTACAGCCACTGAATCTTAGAAACCTTTGCCCACTTGGCTTGAGCAAACATTTTTCAGCCTGTCTCACAGACATGCTCCTTTTAGAAAGAGGCAGGAGTCACCCTATTCACATACATTATACAATTAAAAGGGAGGTCGTCATAATTTTCCTTAGATTGTATCCTGTTATGTTATTTATATTTTAGAAGCATAATAATAATAATAATAATAATAATCACTTTACTAATAAATTGAATGGAGTGTAGGTGACTAAAAGTGAAAAAGTGGGTCTATATAACAAAAAGAAAACAAAATTCAACAGTCAGCCAACCAGTGGTTTCATCTACCCAAACAGCGTGAGAACAATTATTCTCTCTGGAAAGACTGTTTTGGTAACATGCTGGCACAGTTATCCTCCTCTTTGGAAAAATCACTTAATATCACATCATAAAATTAATGTTAAAAATAGTGACAGAGCTCCCCAGTCTCTTTCAGAAAACGTATTGAGAAATAACATGTAAAAATGACTGTAAAGTCCTTTTGTAAATGTGAAGTGTTAAGTAATAGAAGTGAAATTGGCATTGCTGTTCTCTTGACTGTTAATAATGAAAGGGAAGTTGAAATGTGCTTTCCTTCATTTTTGTTTTACAGTACTGCTTTTCTTGCATTCCTCCCTCCTGCACGCAGCCTCCCATTTCATTCTTAACTTATTAGAAAGCAGTACAAGAGACATGAATACTAAAACGGGTGATGTAAAAAAACATGCCTCCTGCACGTTGCAGGCCAGAAATCCTTGGTGCAAAGATCAAACAAAACAATTCCCATGACTACCGTGTATGTTTTGTAACATATTTCTTACATATCAAAGTTTTTATGGGGCCGACGTGTGGAAGCAGCTTACATTCCTCCCCAGGAGGCAGCACTGAGGAGCTGTCATTTCTATTTGTGTTCCCCATGGACCAAGTTCTTTACTGGTAGGTAAAGGTGTTTCCCAGGGCCTGACTTCCTTTGTCCTGCATTTCAGATAAGAGATTCTACTCAGTAGGTCCTTCTTATTGCTTTCTGTGAGCAGTGACAAAAAAAAAAAAGATTTCAAAATATGGGTTTATCCTTCCCGATGCCAATGATGACTTCCCACTAATAATGTTAGAATGAAAATTACAAGGGCTAAGTTAGAAAGGCTTGCTCTTCTTTCGGCCACTCTTCAGTTCCCCCCATTAGAGGTAGGGGGAAGTGTCTTTTTTTCTTCTTCCTTTCAGTTGATTTACAACTCTGTTCTCTACTTGGTAGTGCAAGGATTTGGGGACTTGTCTTTTTCAGCCATAGAAAATAAACCGTTGTGCAGAGGTTTCTTGGGCTCTCTCCTCTGGTCCATGAAACACATTTAACTTGATCCCATCCCCACAGGAAGGGTCCTGGGGCTGGGTATCACTGATTTCTCTTAGGAGTCAGAAAGGTCAGAAGCTGGTGGATTCTTCATGCTTTTTTTTTTAAAAATGTACTTTCCATAACTGTTGAAGGAATAGTCCTGAGAAAACAAACCTTATAGAAGCCATTGAACTTCAGCACGAAAAGATAAATATAGGTTTGGTCATATACAATTTCTAAGCAATGGAAAATGGTTCAATTGCTGGGTTATTCAGGGAAAAATAAACCTGTACACAGATACATTCAATTGGACTTCTTTTGTTGGTCCTTCTGTTTCTT